TCTACCGGTCCGGAAATTACTACAGGTAACATCAATCCGGATTATATTAATCATCCAGTCATCGTTATTCATATACTAGTAGTTTGGTTAAATAATAGGTCATTATGTTTGACATTCAACTTGATATTATTAAAGCCTTAAAATAATTCAATAAAAAGTTACAATGTTTACTATTGAATTTATTCTTGATTAATTGTAGAAAGAATTAAAGTAATCAATAACCAATCGTCTTCAGTTTGAGACAATTGAGTTTGTTGTTGTATTAAACCAAAATAAAATAATATTAGTGTTCAAATTTTAGTGTTCTGGGGGCCTACCACCGACTTCGATGAGTTTTCTCACCGGTGACAAAACTCACGTGCATTTTGTCACTCATTTTTAAAAAACGCTACTATTGACATTGCGTGAAATGAGAAATCTCACCGATGAGTTTTGTCACCGGTTAGATATTGCAACGTAGCACTTTCGCGCTCGTTGCTTAGCGTTTGACAAAACATTTTTCCCAATTTTTCCATTTTTGATTTTCCAAATCCAAATACTATGAAGGTGACGGAGGAGCAGAAAGAAATTCTGGTCGAGTTTTTGCGGACTCGGCCAGAATTAATACATTATTACATTATTGGCTTAATTACTCGAATATGGACAGATAAATCACTGGGCCTTCTCTTTGGACGCATATAAGGTTCCACAACAGTTACAGTAAAATTAAATAAGTCTTTGGACACTCGAAACAGCTTGACAAATTGTCTTTCTGGCAATTCCCGCAAAGGATCTCCAGCAGCAGCTCACCTCAATGACACATCTACTTCTTCTTCCTCTTCCAAATCGTCAATTAAATTAAGCATCATTAAATCATGCATTTTGTGCATTACAAGCAGCGACGAGTTACTACAGTTTGATTGCAGAATATAGTGCTCAAAAATTTGGTTTATAGAATAATTTTAATACCTTTGTAAGAAGAAAGCCTTCAAGGAGGAGTCCTGAAAAGGACTGATTTTATATTAAACGAAGAGAAACAAAACGTACGACGCAAAAGTAGAAGAACGAAAGACACAGGCGAAAAACGATGTAAAGAGTAAACTGTCAAAATTTAGATAACGTCTGCAAGAAATAATAGCTGTGAATAATAGTCTCATCAAGATCAAAAAAGAGAGCGTGTGGTGGGTTACCTACCTGCGTTTTTCTTCAAATTTTGTCCGAAATTTAATGATAATAAACCAAAAATATTAATTATTCATTTTTTTTAATTAAACAATTCATATTTTACTCATTTAAACCAACAATAATTCTTCATTTGAATTTAAATTATTACAAATGTCAAATCTCACGAGTTTTCTATGAATCTCACTCATAATAAAGCGCTCGAAAAAACTCACGCGTTTTCATTCGAGTTTTGTCACCGGTGAGAAAAGTCATCGCGTCAATAGTAGGGTTTTAGCACTTTTCATTAAAATGACGTCATTTTGGTGACAAAAGTCACCAGTGAGAAATCTCACACGAGTCGGTGGTAGGCCCCCTAGTCGATTTAAATCATGTTAAAATGTCATAACCATTCTTTTAAAACAATATGTACATATCTAGTTATAATGTAAACTATTGATTTTACAGTTAATTCCATGTCCAAGTGAATAATGTTAAGTGCGCTTTAATTTGCCAAACTATATTAGACAGACAGCGCAGCAGCCGTACCGGACAAAATTCAATTACTTGTTTTTTAAAATTTAGTTTTCTTTTTGAGCAGTTCATAAGGTATTTGAGTCACTGAATAATGTATTATGAAATATAAATGCAAAAACCTGTGACTTTATTCTTATAAACCTATTGCATAAAAAGTAAGTAACAGTAATATTATTTGGGTAGAAGTTATTATCAATAATCTTTATTTTAAAATATGTACTAAAATAATTAGTTAAAATCAAAGAAATACGGATAATTTTGTTTGTTTCGAAATATTGCTATTTATTCCCCAAATCTTATGATTCCAAGAAAAAAAATCCATTTTCATAGTACTCTATAATGCGCCAATTAGTTTTTAAAAAAAGTATAAGTCATGTAAGTAAAAAAAGCTTAGTTTCATATTTTCACCTGGTATGTAGCACATGTGTGCCATAATTGTAACAAACACTATATCCAACATCATCACCACATTACATATTACATTATCTTATTTCTAATCTGCCGCTGCATCATTTATTTTGGTATTGAAGAGGACTTCCATTTAAAATTTGAATGAAATGGAGTCTATAGGTACTATTATACTTGTACATTATGTTGGGTATGTAATTTAGATATTATTATACATACATTGGAATGTATAAAAGTGGGAAAAATTAAATTTCAAACAGTACATTTATGTGTACTAAATGTTAAAAATTACATATTTAATAAAACATTAAAGAAAATTGTACATTAATTTTTTTATTCATTATTTGGAATTCTTCTAAGATTTCTGTTTTAATAAAATTCGGAGAAAGATTTTAGAAATTTTCACCAAGCACAAACCCATCAATCAACCATAAATGAAATACACCAAGGTCAGATAAAGACAAAACAAAAATGTTCATGTTCAATGAATTAGTTAAACCCACTAAATGTTCTGATTTAACCTTAAAATTAACTTTAGACAAAGTCTTAATTAGATAGAAAATATTTCTTATATCCTAAATATTGTTTACTTGGCACAGGTGGTTGAAAATTATAGACATAAAGTACTTCTACAACGTCTTCATCTGCGATGAAGCGCCATTCACTGCACCTGTGCTGAATATATTGATATAGTTGGAACTGGTTTAGTAGTGAAAATTACATCAAAGTAAGTTAACAGTGTAGCTTGATAATTCCGTATTTATTGCCTTTTTTTAGAATTAACATCAATTTATATTTTCTAATTTAAATGAACTATAAGCTATGTTTGCACGAATATGATTGTACACAGTTATCTGTAGATAACTAATTTTTAATACTCACTAGGGGAATATTCTAATAATAAATGTAGTAAATTTTGCATTGAGGAAACTAAATAAAAATATGCAAGCGCTAGTTTTTATCCTTTCGTATTCTCCAAATATTCCCACACTCGCATGTAATCAATCTCTTAGATTCTCAAAATGCTGTTATTGTATATTTTACAGTAGTTTGAACTAAATATGTATAAATCACGGACGTAAAAAGTCCCACTTGTTGTAGCAACAAAACTGCACGCAGTTTTAATCCCTATATTTTTTTTTTACAAAACTGAAAACAAAACATATTTTAAAAGGTTGTAAAACGCTAGTGTCTATTTACTGAGTAGAATAAATATGTATAAAAAACGAAACAATTTAATTTTTCATCCTTCAGGCTGGATTTCATTTTCAATAACTTTTTACGTATGTGGGTATGTGTATGAATAACCGTGATTTGCATGTTGACTTGTGATGATTGCGCTCTATTCGAAAATTGAATGTTTTCAGATTTCAAAGTACGATATGATGAAAACAACAGATTCAGAAAAAAATAAAAAATACTTTGATGATTTCGTAGTTAAGAACGACGTCATCATATAAAATTAAAGTGGAGAATACTAAATTGTTTTTTTATTATTGTAACATTTAATATTGTTTTAATTAATGATAATAATTAAATCTCAAATTTGAAATAAATTTGTTGCTTCATGATGCCAGTAAAGCTACCAAAATCTAAATGAATGACATCCAAAATTGTTCATCAGTATCGCCTTGTGTTATGTATACGTAGAAAGTCTGTATAAAAAGTGCGAAAATTAATTTTTACTACAACATAACAATTCTTTGTGTAATATTAAATTTTATGTTAAGATTCTTAGATCATAGATTTACATATTGGTTAATTTGTATTTTATTGCATTAATCGTGCTAAATTTATTTATTTGTACTTAAAAAAAATAATTTTGTCCCTCTTAATTGAATATCTTTCCTCAAATTAAGTAATTTACATTGTAAAAAGTGAAGAATTTTGTTTTTTCTTCTATAATTAAAATTCATCATTAAATAATTCATAGCTAGGAAACTATCCTGTCGTCTACCGGTAAGAAGAATTCGGATGAGACAGTCCCGTTGTTTTCAGAATTATTAATCTCTGGATTTAATTTTAATTCCAGCCAAACAAAATTAGTGACACAGAAGCAATTTTGCAAAGTATTCAAATTTGTCTTCTCTTAATAAAGATTGATGGGTGGAGTAATTAAAAATCAAGTTTTAGCAAAATTATATTTTTTTATAACGACAATTAATATTTATTATAAAAATCCCCCTGTGAAAAAAGTCAATTTTTTTTAGATCCATAGGTGACTGATTGATGATACAAATTCTAGAGAGTTGATTTCGTTAGAAACTTGAGGGTTATTGATATTGACATTTTTTATTGTCTGAAATACAATCAATTTCAAGTTTACTTTTATTTGTACTTTATACGGTTTAATATGTTTTGTTCGTTCTAGTAATTAAAATACAAAAGTATTTTTTTAAAGCACTAAAGCCAATTATGGTACAAATGTGTTATATTACAAATAAATCACTTAAAAAAGATTTCGTCTAAAAGCATCTAGGGCGTGTGGAAGCCTTTTTTAAATTGACTTTGTAATAACATACGTGTGCCATATAAAACTTTTTTGAGATTTTTTATTTTACATTTGGCCTAAATTGACATCTTTAATTATCTGTTTATTTTTAAAAAATAGTACCTTAACTATTAACGTCATAAATCCGATATGTATCAAATAACAAACAAGATTTTATAATCAACCAAGTGTGTTATTTGCGTGTCGGCCTTGTATCGTGTGTCGTTTAGTATACTTTTTGTGAACTAAAAGATTTTACTATAATTATTCAAAATCATAATGTTAAACTTGACGTGAGTAGCCTTCCGAGTTTGTCTTTTGTATAGAAACATGCGTAAACGGCTTTAAAACGGTCTAGACTGTTATCGTTGCTATCACAAATATGTAAACAATACGGATATGATCAAATCCCAATCAAATATAACAAAAAGTAATTATTAGCTAGTACCTTTCTTAATGTCGATGAAATCTTTCATGCTCGGAAGCACTTTCAAGGTATGTTCATAGAAGTAACTAAACCTGTCTTTTTTAAATATCAGTGAGGTAAAAAACTGACGAGTGATATCTTAGCTCACTCGTGACACTCGTGAGTTATACGATACTTTATTCATTTAAAATCGTCGTAGTTGTTGTTCAATTATTAAGCGGTGATAATACTATATTGGATAAATACACTAAATAAAATCACTTTTCAAATCCCAAAAACAATTTTTATCTCCTAAATTATACTGTCTATATTATGGCCTAATTTTATTTGCATAGTTATTATTTTATTATTCTTCATTACCATCTAAATTAATTCTAAGTTTGTGGAGATTGTAATGTAAAATTTTCGTAAAATAGTATTAAGCGAACTTTCTTGCGTAAGTTTTAGTTGATAAAATATTTGCGTTAAAACCGAAATCAAGTGCAAATAAGTCAAATAACATTCTAATAAAAAGAGAACTTCTCTAGTCGTTGTGGTTGTTTTATCTGCTGTGTTAATTAATAATGCTTTCTACAAAACTCATTTTAATTTGAATATTTTATAGAAGTTTTTCATTATGCAGTAAATTACTTAAAACTAAACCTAGACAAAAAATAAGAATAAAAATAAAAATGTTATAATAAGAAGCATACATAGTTCTGAAGTTTAAAACTATTTAGCGTCTACAAAATCGAGTTATAATTATGGCTAGATTAATATATGTCTCCAGAGAAAATTTCCACTATCTCTAGACTACAACTTTCAGATTTACCGAAAAACGTGGCAGAATTTCAAAATGTTAGCAAAATAAAGTTGTCTACAATAAAAAAAAAACATTAAGCGAAAATAAACTTTGAAATCGTTTAAGGTGTTTTTCAACATGTAAACAACAGAGTAGCCAAGGGATATTTTTATGAAATATTTTTCAGCTGAAAAATGCCCTGAATCTGGAATGAATGCAAATGTAGTGCAAGGAAGCATTGACAGCGATTACACGAAAGTATAAATTTACATAATATGTCTATTGAATCGATAAACAAATTTAAAAGTAGTCAAGAAAGCAAGATAAATCCGAAGTGATATTGTCGACTATTTCCAATGTATAAAATTGTTGGGCGTGCGCAAGGATGACACACGTCAAGGAATTGGACGCTGAGCGTCGGCACTGTAATTCTGCGTTACTCACTTGTTACTTCAGCGCGTTCCCTAGTTTGTGACGATTAGCGCGAAATATTTTCACTGAAAAATTCGTGCGTCTGAAAAAAAGTATTTTAAACGTAAGTAGCTTATGTGTAAAAATGCATGTAAAATTCTTGAATTACCTAAAGAATTCTTGAAAATGTACCTAAATGATAGCAAACAAAACAACAGTAAAACTTGCTTTTGTTTTTTCTATTTTGATATGTCAACCCCTAAAACCTCAAAAAAAAACAGGTTTTTTTAAATAAATTCTTTATAAAATTAAAACGCTGATGAAAGGCTAACTTTAATCAAACCAGTGGGCAACTCTACTAGCCATACAAATTTGATTAGATTGGATTTTAGCCTAGATTAGCTATTTGAATCCAAATTGGTACATCTAAACGAAAATTAAATTGCCAAAGTATGACAAATTGAAAATGACTAGTACATTTCCACTTGATAAATATCCTCTGATTTATGTGTCAAAGTGTAATTAATGAAACCTAAAACAACTTCAGTTATTGAGGATGATAATAATTCACTATATTATTTGACAAGAGTAACTGCCCACGTCTTGTTTTCTAGTGGCTTAAAAATATGTGATTATTTAGATATTGAAAAATGCAAATGTCTATAATTATAATACTGTTTAAAATAGTGTTGTGTGCATAATTTTAAATTAAGAATTGATTTTTTTGTAATCTTAGCTAAATAAAAAAAAGTCTAAATAAAAATTACAAAGCAAAATTAGCAATGAGTTCCAATGATATTTTAAACTAAAAACGATTGAATATACCTACTATGGATTTGATAAAAAATTAAACATCCTAAACTTAAACTCTGATTGTATCTTTTGTAGGTAATGAATAAAACAGGAACAATTCGTTATTGAAAACATAAAAAAATAAGACTAAAAAAGAAATTACTGAAAAAATATTTTGTAGGTATGCCCAAAGTAAGCATAAACATAAAAAGTACCCTCCTTATTTTTTATTTGTTTACTCATTTGCTTACTGCAAAAAATGATTAGATACTGTTGAGTTTTTATAGCTAAACATCCAAACAAGGCAAACTAAAAGTGTATATGATTTAATTCTTCATTCTGTAGGCATATATTACAGTGTAACAAGGCAAACTAAAAGTGTATATTTGATTTAATTCTGCATTCTGTGGTAATATTATTACAGTGTAACATTTCCTACTATTATTTGTTTAACTAATAAAATATCAGGAAAAACAAATAGGTACTACAGCACTAATTTTCCCACTAATTTTTGTGTCACTTTCATTATTGCCACAGTTAAATATAATATGTAAGTCGTATTTTCTTATCCTAACTAAACATTTGTTCTTATTCCCACCGTTTTAATCTATTTTATGCTCTTAAACTAATATAATACCTAATCTTTAAACCTTAATCCCACATGACTAACAAGTTTACGTTATAGCACCTACCGCATTAGCTTGAAATGAGAATCACCACCATTATTTAGAATTTTCTGTAATGTAGTTATCCTATAGTCAGCCCTTTATTTTAAATTTGCTTTAAAAGAAAGTAATATCCTAAGAAAACACTTACTAAAGTAAAAAAAGTAAAAAGTGTAACTATACAAACATTTGAATTTCGTGCTCGCGCACTGTAGTTTATGCTAAAATTATTATACTCCATTATTTCATAACACATTAGATTTAGTGTTTGTCTAATTTAACAAGCTGTAGCTTGTCTAGTGTGTCAATATTTAAAGTTGTAGTTCCATTAATTAAAATTAAAAACATAATTGCTCATTAAGTGGATTAGAATTTCAGAGAATTTTGCCAAAACGTAATAACTTTCACGATACATATCGAGTGTCTCAAAAAGGCCGGATAGGCGTGACATGAGACATAATATGTGGTCATACAAAGGTAGGTAACGATTTTATAATACTAGTAAAAAATGTTTTTTAAATAATTAAATAATCTGTTGCGTTATTCTCAGGGCTTAGTGCAAAAAATTTTCAGATTTTAACAAATTTTAAAATTGTTTGTTTTTTGAATGCAAAAAGCTTTAGTTTCTCATTATTGCGGCTAAATACAAGGTGTCTCAGAACTCGCGCCCTAGAGAAAAATGCCATGTGAGGTGAGATACCAAGAACATGGAAAACATGTTAAAAAATTCTATTTATAAATATTTCGAAGTTATGGGAGTTTAAATTTTGCATTTTGTCTCTATTTATTTCTGTCTGAAAAATAATTTATCAAGTTTTTTTGCTACAGGCTATTAGAAGAGAAATAAGGAAACTGTACCCTAAATTGTAACTATGCTTAACGTTATTTGTGGCTTTTATTGACAAAATTTTTGTACCTTTGCTAAATAATTGTAAAAAAAAAGATATACAAGATCATCAGTAACAATAAATTGACATAAAAAATGTCAAATGGCAGAAATAAATGTGAGTTTTTTTAAACATTTTTTTCCATGAATTTTATCTTACCTGAAATTTTTCTCTGGGGCCCGAGTACTGAAACACTCTGTATTTATTTAGAGTTGTTTTCTATATAGTAAAATAAAACTATTTTTGCTGTCGTATGAAGAGTTTATTTTTACCAGGAGTTTTCATGGACTTCATTTAAGAATGTCCAATAACTCAATTATTTTTATTTCTGTTCGATGTAATTCTTATTCAAGCATCTTTAATCTTGGCCAACATTTTCGACACAGGCCATATAATACTCAAGTGACTCCTGAAGAGACGAATAATATTAAATATATTTTCTCCCACCATTGATTAATTTATATTTTTCCTCCTTCAATTATTCTTATTTTTAGAATTCAATTATATTTCCGTCATAAAAAACAAAAAAAAAACATAAGGTTACAACTATGTTTAGATTCATATTAACAATAAATAACAGTAATGTTGTAACGTGGAAATAAACCGTACATTTTCTCTTAGCATTTACATTCGTTTTTATGACACAAAAGTGTTATTCTCGTGTGCTGCGCTCGTTAGATTTTCAAATATACACTTGTCAACCTGTCCTGTGTCTTTTCCACTCCCTTCTATTATAACATGACATTAACGAATAATGAGTAATGACAATCGATGTAGATTAACTCCGAAATGCATTATTTCTGAAAAAACTATTTCTGCCAATTTATGTGTGTATATCAATTTGTTCATAATTAGAGCTAGATTGAAGTTTTGATAAAAAAATAGTTTACAGAACAATAGTAACAATGTTTATAAATATGGGAACATTTGAAAGAAATCCCCAGATCTAAAGTTACACTAATAAAGTAACTGATTTGACATTTTTGGAATGCTAAAACCACGTTATCTATCTATCTGAAATCTATCTGAAATATTTTTAAAAACTCGAAATATTGTTTCTGCGCTTCTAAAAAAGAAGGTCTTAGCGTTGTTTGTTTGTAGGTGCTAGTGATTTGTGGCTTTCCTCATTCCATAAAATTCTTTATTACGTTAATAAAGAAACATAAATTTTACGTATACCAACTCTAGAAAGACTACATTATTTGTAGGTGTCTGTCCAATTCTGGATGTACGAGTAGTGTACAAGAACACCATATTCATTACCAAAACAATAAAAAATATTTACGTTAATTAATTGGAAGCTGAAAAGTCTCTTTGTCTCCTTGCTTAGTCAGTAATTTTCCTACTTCATATATATTTTATGTTTAAAAACCTCACAAATGTTTATTGCAATTTATTTCAAATTTCTCAGCACAAGATATTGGAGATTTTTTGTAATACGAGTAGTGTGATCATTGTGACATTGTGTACATATAATCATTTTTTTCTTGACAACGTAAATTATGATATTGTTGTATTTCAAATTCCATTAA